TTGCTGTTTATGTTTAGTTGTTTTGTTTGTTAGAGTTAATGTGTTTGTTGTTCTTGTTATCATTATGTTAATGGATTTAATGTTCTTGGTACCGTTATGTTATTGGAGTTAATGTGTGTCTTGTTCTTGTTCTCGTTGATGCAAAAGACTATATATAACTTGTATTGTTTGTTCTATTTATTGCACTTCACTTGTGTGGTTCTTGAATTCTGATGGTTGTTCTTCACTTGTGTTTCTTGACAGAGTGAAGAGAGTGGAGCATCACGGACTTGACAGAGTGAAAGTGAAGAGAGTGGAGCTTCACGGACTTGACAGAGTGAAAGTGAACACACAGTCACGGGTGTATTGGTACCCTCTTTGTCTTTGTAAAAGACACAGTCATTATCTTTACTTGTGTCACAGACTCTATATGTAATTGTTTTCACTTGTGTCACGGAGTCTATATGTACTTGTCTCATTGTAAAAACCAACAACACACACTCATTGTCTGGTCTCTCCTTGTCGATATAAACTAACAAAACATTGTATTTTCAAACTCATCATCTATCCTTCTCACAAATTTCATTCTCTATATAAAGTCACCAAACATCACCTCTTCTTCTCACAAAACAATCATTCTCTCGGTTCCCTCTTTCTCCTTCCGTTTATCAAAAATACAACATTGTCTTTTGAAAAAGTTATGCAAAAGAACACTTTCTTTTGATCCAAAACAAAAGAGAACACTTTCTTTTGATCCAAAAAACACCTAAAAATTTCTTTTGATAACATTTATGGCATCTTCATCTCAAAACACTTTTGATGGATCAGATGATGAAATTTTTGATCAACATTTTGATCAAACGATGGAGAATTTATCTATTAATTATGGTGATCAAGACGAAGACAGGAGAAGAAGAAAAAACGAGTTTATATCGAAAGAAATAGTGAAGCAGGCCATGCTCGTTTATAGAATGATTATTTTAGTGAAACTCTAACGTACCTCGATAATTTTTTCTGATGACGTTTTAGAATGAACAAGACATTGTTCATGCACATTTTTGATCGACTCTCCAACGAAGTTCAATACTTTCGGCAAAAGAAAGATGGTCTCTGAAGGATTAGTCTCTCTCTCCTTCAAAAGTGTACTGCAGCCATTCGTGTCTTGGCATATGATTTTTCGGCTGATATGGTCGACAAATACCTCCGCCTCGGTGAAACAACAACTCGGTTATGTGTACAAAATTTTGTGGTGGGAATAATATATTTATTCGGCGATGAGTACCTAAGAAGACCAACACCAGCTGACCTTCAACGTCTACTTGATATTGGAAAGCACCATGGATTTCTCAGGATGATAGGAAGCATCGATTGTATGCATTGGGAGTGGAAGAATTGTCCGACCGCTTGAAAAGGACAATATTCTCATGGTTTGGGTAAACCAACAGTCCTTTTATAGGCGGTTGCTTTGTATGATCTCTGGATATGTCATGTGTTTTTTGGACCTCCAGGTACCTTAAATGATATCATTGTTCTTGATCGCTCACCGGTTTTTGATGACATAATAAAAGGTCAAGCTTCTCAAGTGACTTTCTCTATCAATACAAGATATTATCATATGGCTTACTATCTTACTGATGGTATTTATCCGAAATGAGCAACTTTATCCAATCTATTCCAATACCACAAGAGCCACAATCAACTTATTTGCTCAACGTTAAGAAGCTGTCCGAAAAGATATCGAGCGTGCTTTTGGAATTTTGCAAGTTCAGTTTGCCATTGTCAAAAATCCAGCACTGTTTTGGGATAAATCAAAACTGGGAAGATTATGAGAACATGTATCATACTCCATAATATGATATTAGAAGACGAGCGAGATGGATACACTCAATATGATGTTTCAGAGTTCCAACAAAGAGAAGACTACGGAAGTTCACATGTGATCTCACGATTCTACATATATCCCTACAAATATCGCCAATATGATAGGTGTTTGAACAAGAATTCGTGATAGAAAAATGTATCGACAATTGAAAGATGATTTGGCCGAACATATATAGTCTAAATTTGGACAAGATGAAGACAACAACTGAGGTCAGATGATTCTTTCAAATTTTTGTTTGGATTGGAAACAGAAGGCACTTGAATTATTTTACCAACCGCGCATTCTCTAAGAAAATTAGTAGAAAATCTAGCTAGACATCAAGGCTATACCAGCTAAGTTATCTAAACACTATGTACAATATTATGCTAAATATCTCTATAACTGGTCAATGAGATCAAAGTTAGATTTAACAATGATGCAAAACTTTGCCGAAAGAAGTTTATATGTGGCACTACAAATTTCCCTGAAGTAACGAACAATCTCTCAAGCCAATAGTCAGTTGCTCACTTGTTATTACTTTATTTTTTTTGAAACTAATTGTTATTTTAGCATTTTTCTTTATTTTTGTGGCAAGAAAATATATTCAAAATAAATTTGACCTAAATTAGACTAAAATAGAAAAAAAAATGAAAGAGTAAACATATTTTGAACATGTATATAATTTTTTTTTATTAATGGGTCTGAGCTATCAAAACAATAATTATATAATGTGATTTCAGACTTAGATTAAAGATTAATGTGTACTAGAAAGAATCCACTCACTAATTAAATACTGAGAATAAATTACATAGTTAATATATGGCCTACACGGATGTAAGAGCAACCACGCTGGTAAAATATCTATGTATTAATATTTTCTTAACACTCAATCCCTTATATATTATTTGTAAAGTAATTTTGACATGTGTCATCACCATAATCAATTTCATCAAAAATGATAACATGTTCACTAATAATGATGACAAGGCTTAGAGTTAATTGTGACATGCACATTTACATTTAATGTTAATATATATTTTTGGTAAATTTTTAGAATATGATAATAACTCATAAATTATCATTAACATAACAATAAATAATATAATAGTAGAAATAGAAATATAACAATATTTACAAATTTTGATTTTTTCAAGTCTATTTTTATAATTATATAATCTTTAATACGGGTTTTTATAAAAAGTATAATTTTCTAATCCAACTACCGTTAGTTTTATTTATAATATCGATAAATTTTAGAAATATTATTTAATTTTATATTTTATTAATTATGTACGTAACAAAATTTTCTCTTAATTGTATAGAATCCGATTTAATATATTTTAACCAAAAGAAAAAAGATAAAAAAAAAAATCTTTCCAAAATTTTAGTTTTAAATATATACATATATATTATTCAATATAAATTTAAATAAAATTGTTTATTTTATCTTCATTTTTACATATAATTAACGTAAAATTAATAATGTAACAAAATAATAAATTTAAAAAATAATTAAATAGTATTTTCAAATATAATTTTATTTTTAAAACTTTTATTTTTGCACATAGTGCAGCAAAATACCTAGTTGTTTAGTTAAATTTTAATATTTTAAGCAAATAGAAAGCTCGACAAAAAAAAACAAATTTAAATAATTTATACATAAATATGCTACGGAAGTTTCTCATGAGTATCTCAAAATATCGTTTTTGTGACACATTTCATGGAAAAACTCCTCAACATTTTTTTCTATTTTTACACTTTTCATATATTATTGCGAAGACACTATCAATAAGAAAAGTATCTGAGGTTTTATGGCTCATGGTTGAAACTAGATAATATGGGTTATGTCTCACGAGCTAGGCACAATTAGCCTCACGGCAGAGCTCCGCGGAGTGATTCGCCACTGTATTGGGCCATTTGTGTGAGGGAATAAATTTTGTGCAAGGTTCAGTTATGTGTAGGCTTGAGTTAAATGTTTTTTTCCGTTCTATTGTTCTTTCTCTTTGGTTTCACTGATGAAAAGTATAATGATTCAGCAATGAGTTTGTAGATTCTTCTTTGGTTATTTCTCTCTTTCAAATTACACGAGCACAATTCTTCTATTTCTTCTATTTACCGACCAAATTAACAAGAGAGAGGCCATCACCCGGTTAAACGCATCTATAAGGCGACGTAGAATTGGTCACTCTTATAGAAGACCGCGCCCCGCGGCGGTACGACCTGCGATGCCTCAAATGAAACGGTGACCGCGGCATGCGAGACATTTGGTCGGGAGAGAGCCTAATTGCCCTTTGTAGTTGAACTCGACACTCCATATTTTGTTAGTACTCCTTCGAAAAATTGTAGAGTTTAGTATGATTCGAATGCAGTGTAATTTTTTGGCATAATTTATGAATCAAATGTGTTTTAATTTCCTTTTTCTTATATTGAAAAAACTCATGTACAAATTCTTTTTGAAAAACTATTTTGTGCACAGAATATTTTAAAATATATTTATTATGTTAGAAAAAGTAGTCACTTTTGATCAAAAGAAGTAGTCACTTTTGATCAAAAGAAGTAGTCACTATTTGATAATTGTATTGTTGTTGTAGTATTATGGTTTGTTTTCAATATTGTTTGAACTGTCCAATCTACATGTTTTGCATTTACCACCATATATATATTTGGATTAAATCAACCATATATTCGTTCCGTGAGATTGGTTTGTTTTCCATGTCGTCATGAACAGTGCCGTGCGAAGAGTTTTAGGGGCCTAAGACAAGATTTTTTTGTAAACTAAGACAAGCTTTTCACAATAAATTTATTTTTAGTTATATAAAAAAGCTTTTAAATACAATATATCATGATAATCGTATACACATGTTAAAAATAAATTTATTAACATACATACGAGCCATGCTTTTATAAGATAGAAAAAAAAGAAATTGAATTCACTTGGAGATTTGATCGAACTTATGTGGGTGTCCTTGACAAAATAGGTTAAACTATTGAACTAGATATCATTTTTCTTTAGGTGCCCAACTGTATGTATGTTAAATGGGACCTGAGGCAAATGCCTTTTTCAAAGAGCTGTAGGCACGCCTCTGGTCATGAATCCTAGAAAGTGAATTAAAAACTAAAATTATGGCCCAATCTGCCATAAATAACCATCTCTCTCCACACACAATTCACGACCACTTGAGAAACATAACACTCACTGATAAAAAAAAAAAAAAAGCTCATTGTTTTTTTTTTCGCGCACACACTGAAGATCTCATAGTGTCGACATGGGTTATTGCCAAGACGACAAGCTAGTGAACACGATCTGCGATCTGTACGAAAAGATCTCGAAGCTGGAGAGCCTGAAACCTTGTGAAGATGTCGACACTCTTTTCAAGCAGCTCGTGTCCACATGCATGCCACCAAACCCTAACATCGACGTCACCAAAATGTCTAAAAGCATCCAAGAGATGAGATCAAACCTCATTAAGCTCTGTGGGCATGCTGAAGGTCACTTAGAGCGTCACTTCTCTTCAATCTTAACCTCGTTTGAAGACAGCCCACTACACCATTTGAACCTTTTCCCGTACTACGACAACTATCTCAAACTAAGCAAGCTCGAGTTCGATCTTCTCGAACAGAACCTCCACGGATTTGTTCCAAAGACTGTAGCTTTCATTGGCTCTGGTCCTCTCCCTCTCACTTCCATCGTTCTTGCCTCTTTCCATCTCAAAGACTCAATCTTTCACAACTTTGATATCGACTCATCAGCGAACTCCGTTGCAGCTCGTCTGGTATCGTCTGATCCTGACCTCTCTCAACGCATGTTGTTCCACACAGTTGATGTAATGGATGTAACAGAGAGCTTGAAGGACTTCGACGTTGTGTTCCTGGCAGCTCTTGTCGGGATGGATAAACAAGAGAAGATTAAAGTGATCGAGCATCTTGAGAAACACATGTCTCCTGGTGCTTTGCTCATGTTGCGAAGCGCTCATGGACCTAGAGCATTTCTATATCCAATCGTTGAGCCTTGTGATCTCCAAGGTTTCCAAGTGTTATCGGTTTATCGCCCGACCAATGAAGTTATCAACTCTGTGGTGATCTCAAGGAAGCTCGCTGGAGATGTAGGTAATGGTGTTATTCATGATCACATGGATCAAGCTTCTGAGCTCGCGGGCAACTGTTTCCAGATCCACGCGATTATGAACAAGAAGAAGAGCATTGTCGAGGAGTTCACAGGATCTATTGAAGAACAGCTTTCTTAGAGATTACTGTTTCATTACAGTTTTCTTGATCAGTACTGTCTTTTTCCTACAATAAACTGGCTGTTCATGCTACAGTATCGTTCTTGTCTTTTCTTTGTTCTGTTTCTTGGCATCTGATTTGAGATTTGACGATGACCATTTCATTTTGTTGGATTCTGACAAGTCTATTGCAATTTGCAAAGGATCAATCAAACTTAATCTGTGACAGAACCGATTACTCTTGTCGGTATTAAATAGAAAGAAAACATAAATGGTCCCATTAAGATAACGATACGATTGGTCGAAATTCTTGCCTCTTGTTCCGATCAAAGAGCAGACTTTATGAAAATTTTATCCTAAAGTAGAAATATCCGAGATTCCAAAGGAACATGATTGTAGGAGGTGGGCCGTACCCGCCCCTCAAGGCCCACGAGAAATCACATTCGGCCCGGTAAGGGCGAACAGTTAATAGGGCAAAATGACTCGTCTTTATCCGAGTGGTGTCTGTACCAGCAGGGAAAGGCGTTATCAAGCCGACTACAGGCCCAATACCGGAGGCCCACGAGCCGAGAACGACCTAGGTTAAGGTCAAAGAATCTGAGCTATAAAAGAGAGGGGAAGGAGCACAAGCGAGGGATCCGAAAACTGAACACAGAGACGGCGGCATAGATTAGGGCAAATAGCTAGATTTATTCCGTGGGCTTAACCAACTCGAACTTAATCTCGGCAAAGCTTCCGAGCGCCGGGATTCCCATTGTACTCTCTCCGTTTATAAATAAAACCTCCTGTTCACTCGGTCAATCTAGATCTACACCTTTGTAATAACCCACCGACGAGTCCCGTCACTCATTTTACTGATACACGACCGTACTCGGTACAAACAATGATTCTCTTTTTCTTTTCTTTTTTTCTCGCATGTCATCTACAAATAAAAATGAAAGACCCATACTTTCTATTCTGGGTTCAAATTTGACGAATCGCCAGTAGGAGGGACAGTAGCGTCGGCAGGCTCGGACCCGTCAAGATTGAACGTATCCAGCACGTTCATAAGCCCTGCTCCTCCCAACTCCTCGTCTCCCTCTATCTCCTGAGACAAATCTGGAATACCTCTCATCTTCCGCGATTGGTTGATAACTTTTTGTTCCGCCCTCGAGAAAAGCACCGATCGCTTCTTGTCAGTCCGACTTTTGCACGGTAGCTTCGAGTCCCACGTACCTACACAAGATACGTAGACAAACAAGACTGTAAGTATGGCGTGTTGAAGCAGAAAAAGGGAGGGGGAAAAACAACGTAAAGGAGAAGAATCTTACCGTCGTCTATGCGATTCAGCCAACGACGTATCCTCTCCTCACTTATCTCGGGCCACCGAAGATGTCCAAGTTCAACCAACGCCCGAGCGTTATCGTAGAAAGAGCCTGGAACCCCGGTCAGATATGGATGATTCACTGCACAATAACAAGAAAGTCGGTAAGTATGCGAGAACACGTTTGCAAGAGAGGAGTAACTATCTACCAGCATGCCAATTCCAAAACACTCGTGATCCGATGTCCGGGGGATCGACGAACGAAAATTCGTCCGACTTGACGAAGAAGTAGTATCGCTGCCAATTGGTGGTTTTTGTAGGATGTCCCGTAATCACATTGTAGCTCGGCCTCATCGTGATGGAGAAAAGGTCGTCATCCAGCGGTTTGATCGAGGTTAACTCCTCGAAGGCTCGGGACAAAGTACAATGCCGAGCTCGGCTGACATCACCAAAAGCGCGACTATCAAGCGAAACGCGCCATTTACGAATTGACTAATGGCAAGGTCGCGACGAGCAGCATATGAAGTCACGAGCCTCGGAATCGGGAACCAGAGTCTCGTATCTCTTTCGAAATATGCCTCATACACGCACTGAAACCCCATCGGAGGTGCCCAGGGCCGCTGGTTGTCGGTCGGAATCAAATACGTAACTCCGACTGCATCAAGACGCTTCAGCAAACTCTCAACCCGAGTAGATGTAGACCACGTCGACTTATGCGTCTGTTGGAATAAGTACCGCGCTCACGGATTAGGTTCGACGGAATTTCCGTACCCCGCTCGAACACGCCATTTCCCAAGTAACGTGTTGGGACCGGAGGAGGACTGGCAACGACCCGGGTACGTTCAGAAACACCCGTTGTTCGAGCCTCACCCGACGCTCTGACGGTACGACCCCGAGTGTTAGATCCAACGGGTTGCGACGGGGGATTCCTGGTTGAAGTTGGGACACCGAGTAACTCAACAGCCTCGTTACCGGCAGCCTCCCCTCTCAACTCCCTCTCCGAATCAACGACAAGAAGTCTCTGCGCCAAATCAAGACTAGCCGAGTCGTGGAGTGCCCTTCGGTGCTCTAACTCGAAGTCATCTAAGGGCTCACCGGTTGTTTCGTCCCGTGCTACCTCTTTCCCTTTCTCTTCCCGAGTCAATCGCTTTCGGGAACACATCGCAACCGATAGTACGTATATATCTTACAACAGTCTGGAGAGAGAAAGTAGAGAGAAGGGAGAGGGAATACCTGATTTCGCGGAGAAGAATAAAAGAAGCAGAGGCAAGAGGGATATATATAGGAGAAGCGCGGCGCGGATCCCAGTGCTGCATTTATTAGGTCTACGAAGACCTAAATGGGCTTTTATTTCGCGACTGTTCATATTCCGCGCCTTAATGGGCCGAGTCTGATACAAAGAAGCCCATCATTCGTGACGGTTCGAATTCCCTTCCTACGTACCCGAGTAAGCCGTGAGAGACGTCAATTAACGGAAGCCGAGTAAGCGATGCGATTGTCGTCCTGCTCGACTACCGAGTAAACCATGATAGACGTCAATCAACGGAAGCCGAGTAAGCGACACGATTGTCGTCCTGTTCGACTACCGAGTAAACCATGATAGACGTCGATCAACGGAAGCCGAGTAAGCGACACGATTGTCGTCCTGCTCGATTACCGAGTAAACCATGATAAACGCCAATCGACAGAAACCGACTGAACGACCCGATCGCCGAATGAATCACGGACAGCTGATTGTTTACTCGAGACCAGGCAATGCATTCGCGTCCATCCGAGCTGAACTCCTCGCCTAAGAGGAGAAGCTTTCGAAACTCTCTCCCGCACTCCGAGTGTGCTTTCCCGTGAACCTAATTGATTCATTCTATTGACTCGTCGACCGATCGTCAATAGACTGGGGGGACTTACTGTAGGAGGTGGGCCGTACCCGCCCCTCAAGGCCCACGGAAAATCACATTCGGCCCGGTAAGGGCGAACAGTTAATAGGGCAAAATGACTCGTCTATATCCGAGTGGCGTCCGTACCAGCAGGGAAAGGCGTTATCAAGCCGACTACAGGCCCAATACCGGAGGCCCACGAGCCGAGAACGACCTAGGTTAAGGTCAAAGAATCTGAGCTATAAAAGGGAGGGGAAGGAGCACAAGCGAGGGATCCGAAAACTGAACACAGACACTACAAGAAAACAGGCCATTTACTAGGACGGGTTCTCCTCGTTATTTCCTAGTAAAAGGGCCTTTACTAGGAAATTACGAGGAACCCCGTTTCGTCGAAAGGCGTTCATCGTAAAGCCTATTTTCCTCGTAAAGTCCTAGCTAACTTACGAGGAAACATTTCCTCGTAAAGGCGTGGATAAGTTTTCCTCGTAAAGTCCACGTAAGCTTTCCTCGTAAGCTCATAGTAAAGTCTTTCCTCGTAAACTCGTAGTAGGTTAATTACGAGGAACTTTCTAGGAAAAT